TGAACAGAGAAACCTTTAGGCTGAGCTTAGTGTATTTAAAGAGGCAGCTTTAAGCTAAATTTGATTTAACACCATTAAGAATGACAGAGCCTCCATTTATAAGAGAAAGTCCTGGAATGAAATGAAAAATTATTCATAGTCAATTAGTTATACTTGAAATAACTTTTGCATTCCTCTTAGGTCCCTGATTTAGGGGGTCATTCATTCACTCATTCATTCAGTCCATGTTTCTGAGCACCTGCTGTGGCCAGACACAGAGAAGCCCTTGGGAGTACAGCCGTGAACTAGGAAGGCAAGGACCCTGCTGTTAGGCAGAGAACTTCAGGTAGAGCTAAGTGCCAAGAAGAAAAGAAAAGAAGGCAGGATTAGAGAAAGTGGAGATTCCAGCCTAGATGGTGACCAGGAAGGACATCTTCCTCAAGGAGGCGACATTTGAGCAGGTATTCAAATACCAAGAGGCCACCAGCAGCAGCCATGTGGACATCTGGGCAGAGCCTCTAGTCAGAGGGAAGAAGAGGTGGACCCACACAGGCCGGCGTGAGCAGAAGGCGGGTCAGTGTGGCCAGAGCAGCGGAGTGACAGGCAGAGGGCAGCAGACTGGGGTGGGAGGGGCAGGGGCCACCTCAGGGACTGCATTTTATCCAAGTGCAGCGGAAGCAAGTGGGGTGTGTGATCAGGCAGTTCAGCGCTAGGATTTGTGATTTACAGAGGGTCAGCCGGCCGGCTGGCTGGTGAGGACTCGGTGGGATCGGGCGGGGCCGCATGTGGACCGCCGGGCTCTGCGGCAGCGCTTCCCAAAATGGCGGCTTGGAGGGACGCGCGCAGACGCTGAGGCAGCGGACGCGATGTCAAGGATGACAAGGAGAGAAACTGAGGCTGCGTCCTGGGTGTGAGAGAGTTCACTGCATTAAGAACAACCAAGCTGGAAGTTTGTCCAGCTCAGAGTCAAACAATGTCTCCATCTCAGGGTTAGGAGGGACGCCGGCGCCGGCCCCTGGCAGTGTCGGGACTCCCGCCGCGAGCCCGCCCGCCTGGAGGCCCCCGTGTGGAGCGACCCCAGCGGTGATTGTTGGAAAAGCCTGTTTTGGGTTTCCTCGCGCTTTCCTAAAACCTCCACTCACAGATCTCGTCTGTCTTCTGCGGCCCTACCATTTTATTCCGTCAGCAGAATGTCTGCACGCGGGGGCACAGCGGTGGATAAAATAGACAGTGCCCCTGACCTCACAGGGCTTACATTCTACTTGGGGAGACAACGAAAACACTAAATATGTGGTTAGCCATGTGGGGTCAAGTGCTCTGGAGGAGACTCTTGCAGGGTGAGGGTGCCGGCAGGGCAGGGGAGGCCTGGCTGATGCGGAGCCCAGGCCGCGGATCTGGAGAAGGAAGTCTCCACAGCAGAAGCTGGAGGTGGCACGGGCCCCTTTTGTTCTATCTGTGCCTCGTTTGCAGAAGTAGATGTGCGCTTGGGAAGTTCTGTGTGCTAATCAAATATTTGTAAATCAAATCATATTTTAAATGCATCAAGGGAACTTCCATTTAAAGTGACCCTGGAGTAAATGAGTCTGCAAAGTAAATAAAATGTTCTGATGTGAATAATTTATCTACCTTGTAAGTATAGATTTTCACATAACCACTGCTTTATTGTGTCTTTCTAAATTTTAATTATTTATTTCTGAAGTGGGGCAGTTACAGCCCGGTGCTGAGAGCCAGGGCCTTGGAGTTACAGAGCTGTGGGGTTTGGAAACCCAGATCTACCTCCCAGTGACCTGGGACAAGTTATTTAACTCCTCTGAGCCTCTCTTGTTGCTTTTGTACAATGAAGATAATGAGGCAGCCACGTGCCACGTGACGCCATGTCGGTCAATGACAGACTATAGACAGTAGTGGTCCCCTAAGCTCACAATGGAGCTGAAAAAGTCCCGGTCCCTCAGTGATATCATACTCACAGTGCAACATGTTACTCATGTGTTTGTGGCGATACTCCCACTGTGCCGCCATGGCCTAAAATCTAGTACATGTAATTATATACGGCACATGATACTTGATAGTAAATGACTTTGTCACTGGCTAATGTATTTATTATACTATACTTTGTATCACTACTTTAGAGTGTTTTCCTTTTCCTTGTTTAACAAATTCATTGTAAAACAGCCTCAGGCAGGTCTGTCAGGAGGTATCCAGCAGAAGGCATTGCTGTCTAGGAGATGACAGCTCCACGTGTGTTACTGTCCCTGGAACCCTGCAGTGGGACAGGATGTCCTAGAACCCTGCAGTGGGACAGGATGTGGAGGTGGAAGGGCAGTGATATTGACGATCCTGTCTCCGTGCAGGCCTAGGCTGATGTGTTTGCATTTCACTTTTTAGCAAAAAAGTTTAAAAAGTAAAAAATAAAAATAAAAGTTGTAAAAACAGGAAAAAGCTATAGAATGAGGATATATAGAAATATTTTTACGTAGCTGTACAATGTGTTTGTGTTTTAGGCCAAGTGTCTTTAAAATAATCAAAAAGGTTTTAAAAATTAAAACATTTATAAAGTTTAAAAGTTGCAGTGAGCTAACTTCCTGAAGAGAATGTTTTAATAAATGTAGTGTGGCCTACGTGTGCTGTATTTATAAAGTGTGCAGGAGCGTACAGCAGTGTGCTGGCCTTCACACCCACTCACACTCACTCATCCAGAGCAGCTTCCGGCCCTGCAGGCTCCATTCACCTCGAGGGCGCTATACAGCATCATTTTTTATTTTTTATGCCATATTCTTAATATACCTCTTCTATGTTTGGATATGTTTTAGGGGGTTTGTTTTGTTGAGACAGAGTCTCACTCTGTCACTATGCTGGAGTGCGGTGGTGCGATCTCGGCTCACTGCAACCTCCGCCTTCTGGGTTCATGCAATTCTCCTGCCTCAGCCTCTCGAGTAGCTGTGATTACAGGCATGTGCCACTACACCTGGCCTATTTTTGTATTTTTAGTAGAGATGGGGTTTCACCATGTTGGCCAGGCTGGTCTCGAACTCCTGACCTCAAGTGATCCTCCTGCCTCAGCCTTCCTTTAAAGTGCTGGAATTACAGGCATGGGCCACTGCACCCAGCCTAGATATGTTTAGATACACCAATACTCACCATCGTATTACAGTTGTCTATAGTATTCAGTGCAGTAACATCCTATGCAGGCTTGCAGCAACGGGCTACAAGTGTGTAGTAAGCTATCAGATGTAGGTGTGTGTAGGTACACTCTGTGATGCTCAAACTGTGATGAAATTGCCTAACAATGCATTTCTCAGAATATAGCCCCATTGTTAAGTGACGCAAGACTGTTACATCACATTACAAAGCTGTTGTGAGGTAACCACTGTAAACCCTAGTACAGTCCCTGGCATACAATGAGCGTGACATGGTGTGGTGTGGTATGACGTGGCATGGTGTAGTGTGTGGTATGACATGGTGTGTTATAGTATGATGTGGTATGATGTGGCGTGGCGTAGTTTGGTGTGGTATGATGTGGCATGGTATAGTATGGTGTAGTATGACATCGTGTAGTGTGATGTGGTATGGCATGGTATAGTATATGGCATGGTAGGGTGTGGTATGGCATGGTGTGTATGGTGTGAGGTGGTGTGGTATGGTATGAGGTAGTGTGACACGGTGTGGTGGTGTATGGCATGGCATGTGTGGTATGTATGGTATGGTATAGAATGGTATAGTATACTGCGGTGTGATACAGCATCATCTACCATAGGGCACTTGGGCAAGACAGCTTTCTATAAACTTATATTTAAAAAACAGACACCAGGGTCATATACTTGGGAACCTGCACACAGGTACCTAAACGGTCACACAGACACAGTTGGAGAAGGGTGATGGGCAGAGACCACAGAACCATTAATATGTTGCCTGTGCTGTTTGTGTGCTGCAGAAACATGGGCTGAGGCTTCATCTTCGAAACCCCCACTCCTTCACCCCCATGCTGGAAGAGGGTGCAGGCGGCAAGGTGCCCAGGTCCCTTCTGCTGGGCACAGACATGGCAGAAAACCAGAAGCAGATCGCCCAGTTCTCCCGGAAAGATGCCCAGGTAGGGAAGGCAACCAGTAACTGAGCTCCTCCTCCCTCAGCAGCCTGGAGAGGGGTCTGGTTGGATTGTGCTAGAACAATTGTCCAAAGGCCATGGGCACTGGGCCAGGCCACCCCACATTCCTGAGAACTCCGGTCAGTGCCAGCTCTTGATCTCAGGTACTGTGAAGAGAAGCAGGTGGAGGATGCCAATTAAGACCAGTAAACTGGGAGGCCCGCACACCTGCACGTGTGAGTATGCGGCCCCTGTCCCAGGGCTGTGCATGCTGAGTTCAAGAGGAAATGCACTGGCATGTTCTCACACTGGTTATGTGCTTCATACCCCTCCTGCTTTCAGACAGAGTTCCAAGTGTCTGTCCACATGAAAGCCGAAAAGGAGGATGAGGGAAGATCAGAGACAATTAAGGCTAAAATGAACTGGATCAGGAACTTAGGACAAGGGAGTTCTAAGTATTCATTCAGTGTGGCATCCCAAGGCTCCATCCTGGCTGCCCAAGGCAACAAAGTGTCCATGATGGAGTGCAGGTATGGTGACAGCAGGAACACATGACAGATGGGGAATGCACTTCTTTTTCCTTGGGATTGCGTTCTAGGAATTTGCTGGGTGGCTTTGTCTAGACGAGCCGCTGAGTTCCAGAAGGGGCCTGCCACGATTGGTTCTGCAGATATGGAAAGATTATTTGAATGGCCATTTTGTATGAAGCCTGGATACAAGCCGAGGTGGAGACATTTTTGTAGGAAGAACCTAGGTTAATAGAACCGTGTACATTGCTCTTGTTGTGTTAATCTAATGTTGGGTAAAACTTAGAGAAATGCAAACACACAGCCTGTATGTCTCTTCAGCCAATAGTTTTCAAACCTGGCTGATGATCAGAATCACCTGAGGAGCTGACCCTTTTATTTTGTTATTTTATTTTCTCTATTTTTGAGACAGGGTCTCACCCTGTCACCCGGGCTGGAGTGCAGCAGTGCGATCTTGGCTCACGGCACCCTCCACCTCCGGGGCCCAAGCAAGCCTCCTGCCTCAACCACCTGAGTAGCTGGGATTACAGGCATGCACCACCATACCCGGCTAAGTTATTTTTAATTTTTTTGTAGAGACAAAGGTCTCACTGTGTTACCCAAGCTGATCTGGAACTCTTGAGCTCAAGCCATCCTCTCACCTCAGCATCCCAAAGTGCTAGGATGACAAGCATGAACCACTGCACCTGGCCCGAGAGGCTTAGCTTTTTAAAAGTGCTTCTCTGGGGGTTCTTTTATGCAACAAGTTAGAGACCACCGCCTGCTTCCTCTCATCCAAATCCTGCCCACCTCAGATGCACTTGAGGGGATTGGGCACAAGGCCAGGTCCCCGGGCCTGCAGGACACTAGCTGTGGCCCTACGCTCTAGCGACCACACACGCAGGAGACAAGGGCCCATTTCCCATCATGGAAAGTGAGGAGCTTGATTTCTGGTTTTGTCTTTTCATGCTGTCATATTAAAGGCCTGCTTAGAGGAAGCTGTTTAACTTCATTTTTACCAAGACATCTCAAATGTATTTTAACATGGGACTTTTCTTTACGTAATACTTATTAAAATGCCATGGGTGTGTCCATGGGTACAGATGGACCAAAATTCAAAGTTCAGGGCTAAGAAGAATCAGGTGGGGCCCCCCGTAGCACAGGCGTCTGTCACTCCTCCTGTGCCTACCAGGGAAAGAGGGGTGGGTGTTGGAAACCAGGCTCCCAAAAGTGGATTCTGACATGGGAGCTTGTGGGGTGAGATTGGCAGGCTTCTGTGACTGCAGGTGATGAGACAGCATGGGAGACCTACAGACTGGAAAAGAATACAGGCAAGGAGGCCTAACTTCTACCAGTAATATATGAAAGGACAGAAAGACAGGCTGGGTGCGGGGGCTCACACCTGGAATCCCAGCACCTTGGGAGGCTGAGGCAGGCAGATCACTTGCAGTCAGAAGTTAGTAACCAGCCTGGCCAACATGGTGAAACTCTGTCTCTACTAAAAATACAAAAATTAGCCGGTGTGGTGGCATATGCCTATAATCCCAGCTACTCAGGAGGCTGAGGCAGGAGAATCACTTGAACCCGGGAGGCAGAGGTTGCAGTGAGCTGAGATCACACCACTGCACTCCAGCCTGGGCGACAGAGCAAGACTCTGTCTCAAAAAAAAGGACAGAAGGAAGAAACTTGTAAGTGATTTCATGGTTTATCGCAGAGACCACACTCTAAGATTCTTGCCAGTTTTCTGTGGGTGACACTTTGTGTTGGCCAGCATTAGCTCCCTGTGGCACTCCTGGTGGCTCTCCTGTTGCCCAGGGTCTCCCTGACCCTCCAGCCCCACCCCATGCACTCTTCCTGGTGTTGATGTTAACCCAGAGACCTGGAACTGGGGGAGCTCAACAGAGCCAAAGCTGAGCCACAGCAGGGAATGAGGCCTGAGGAACTGTGATGCTGTGGGGGATGACAGGCCATGTGGGGGCAACATGGAGGTCAAGGATGTGGATGGTGGAGGCTTGATGCAGAGCTCTGTTCCAGGCCTTTCCCAGATACGAGGAGTTCATGCACTGCTTGGCATTAGCCATTGACCCTCTGCTGGATATGGCCCCCGTGGACATGGCGGCCTTCGAGCGTGGCTCCCTGCTGCAAAGGATCAGGTCACTCTCCACCCTCAAGCCCCTGCTGAAGGCAGGTAAGTCCAAGTGCAGGCACCGGAGCATGATGAGTGACCTTCAAGGACGAAAGTCCATTGTCTTGATGCCTGGACACAAGCCTGGGCCTCCAGTGCAGCCTGCCAGCTGGGTTCGGTTAACATGCTGTGATCAATTAGGGGCGGCCTGGAGCACTTTGTTGAGTGTCTTAGGCTGATGAGCCTTTAAAATAGAGCCTGAGACCAAGGCTTATGCGTGGGTAGTTCATTTGAAAGGGTGACGCCAAGGCATAAAAATAGGAGAAAGAGGGAGAGAAAGAGTCAGTACCAGGGTGTGTGGTCGCACCAGCCAGCACTGTGGGTGACAAGGTGCTGGACCTGTGTGGGCCCTCTGGGAAGCCTTATGAAATGCATTTGAGGAACCTTCTCGGGAGATGGAAAGGAAAGTATCCATTGAGTTCTATCCCCCATTGGTCAAGGCTTGCCTCACAGGGCATTGACTCCCACGCGTCCAGGCTGTGCATCTGTGGATGCCAAATAGGTTCCCGTGAGTGCCCTGCTGTGGTGCCAGAGAAGCCCTAGGGAAGAAATAGAGAGGCTCACTTTTCAAGACTGAAGTGAGATGCTGTGGAGTTGACCGTGTGAAGCTGATCAAAGCCTGCATGGAGCTCAGCCTAAAAGCCATGGCTCGAATAAGATATAGGGACCAAGAGATTTGAAGAGCTGCCCCATACAGAAAGAATGCTAGATTTGGGCTCAGCAAGGGGAAGTTCTGTGATCAATTAGTATTGTTTGCCATGAGTATGAGAATGGAAGGCTCATAAAGTGTGCTATTATTTTCTACGCTCCTTGAGGGTATACACACCAGTTTAGATTCTATATCCTAGAAAAAAAACCAAATCATTTGTTTCCCACACATCTTTGTGGTTCAGCTGATCCCAGCTGGCTCAGCTGATTTGGTCTGGTATCATGCGTGTGTTTGTGTCTGCGGCAGCTCCGTGGAGGCAGCTCTGCTCCAAACCTCCCATCCTCCTTGTATAAGGACATGCTGATCACATGCTTGATATTTTCCAAGAATAATGCTAACTGCTTAAATGCACTAAGTGCCTATGAACTTGCAAATGCTTTACTTAGCTTACTTAATTCTCACCATAGTCCTTAGGGTATAAAATAGGATTCCCATTTTACAGGTAAAGAAGCAGGTTCAGGGATGTTAAAAATGTGCCCAGGCCCTGCAGCCAGTGAGAGGTGTGGCCAGGACTCAAGCTAGATCTGTCCCTGCATTGGCTATGCTATGCCACCTCCTGGCAGGAAGTCTCAGCCTCCTCCCTTCTTTTAAACCCCTGCCCCGGGCCAGGTCGAAGGGTTTCCCTGTTACCTGTTTCCACTTCTGTTTTGTGAATCATTTCTTGTAGGCCGCATCCTGGGAGCCCAGCTTCCCCGGTATTACGAGGTCCTCACAGCTCCCATTACCAAGGTGAGCAGTTTCCCAGCCTCAGACCAGACCAGGCAGTGAGGGGACCCCCCTCCCATCAGGGACCCTAAGCCCTTCTTTCTGCTTTGTGCTGTCCAGGTGCTGGATCAGTGGTTTGAGTCCGAGCCTCTAAAAGCCACTCTAGCCACAGATGCTGTGATTGGAGCCATGACAAGTCCCCGAACTCCAGGGAGTGGGTGAGTGAGGGGGGTGAGGCGGGACATGGGAGTGGAGCATGTCCCCCAACAGGAGTGAGGACAGCAGTAGCAGTGGCAGCAACAACCGCTGCCACTTACGGAGCTCACCCAGTGAGCCAGGAACCAAGCCGAGGATATCACACACAATTCATTTAACCCTCAGAGCAACATCTGAGAACTGCGGTTCAGAGAGGGGAGTGTCTTGCCCAGAGCCACTCAGCTAGTAAGTGGCAAGGCTGATTTCCAGCTCGAGGTGTCTGACTCCCCAGAATCTTCCTTCTTAGTCACGGTGCCCTACTGCTTCACTAAGAAAAGGCTCTCTCCCGCCTCCCGCTTGATATCTCAACGTTCATATCTTCTTTTCTCTCCTCTTCCCTTCCCTATTCCACCTCTCCACTACCACAAAGGCCCGTTCTCACTTCTCTCCCACCATTCCCTTCCCTAGGCTCTGGGACACACTCACACAGACACCTCAGGAGGGACAGGAAGCTGCCTTTCTCTTTGTGAGTGAGGGTTTATGCTGACAGCCCAGTCCGAAAGGTGGCAGTCAGACACAGCGAAGCCTGCAGTGTGGTATGACTTAATGAGCCCCGCAGGAGCAGGAATGGAGAGGTGTGTGTGTGTGTGTGTGCGTGTGTGTTGGGATGGAGGATGATGCCACCAAGGGTTGGACTGTTTCCAGTGCACCAGAAGATGCAGCTAGAAGCTAGAAGCTGTCAACGTGGTTTTTCTCTCAAGGGATGAGCACAGCCTTGGAAGTGGTTTTTCAACACATATTAAGTCAGCCCCAAGTTCCCCCAGGGCCCTGTGGGAGGGGGCTTGGCAGCAGTTGCTACACGTTGGCCAAGCTCTGATCAGCCAGCCTATCCGGATCTTCCAGCTGGGGCCTCCTGTCCTTTTCTTTTCGGATCTCTGGGAGGCTGACCCACTGCTCAGTTTGTGAAATGTGCCTTTAAGTAATTTGTTCCTTCATTAATTATTCCTACAAATATGGATGAGTGCTTGCCTGTACTAGGTGCTGGGGACACGGTAGTGAGCGGAGCAGACGTCCTGGTGGGTGAGAGACGGAGAGTGAGTGATGATAATGAAGTGGCGTGAGTGTGATGCTAGCAAGAGCAGCCAGGTCGCAGCCTGGTCTAGGATCAGGGAAGCCTCCACGTGGAAGAGGTGTTTGATCTGAGATGCAAATGGCAAGGAGGAGTTAGTGAAACAGACGGTGAGGGAGGAAAGGGCTTCAGGCTAACAGAACAGCAGGGGCAAATGCTGGGGTTGAGGGAACATGTGATGCATCCAGGGAATCGAGAGGTTCTGTTAGTTAGGAGGGTGGGGTACAGAGATGGGGACAGGATGAGGGATGAGGCTGGAGCACGTGCTAGGAGGCTGACCATTACCCTAAGAGCAGCACCAAGCCGGGAGGCTTGGAACGGAGATAAGTGAGTGGCAGGAGAATTGCTGGAGATGGGGACCTTGAAAGCCCTCTGGAGGCTGAGTTGTTGGTGCTTTGTGGATGAAGATGGGGAAGGGTGGTAGAGGTTAAGGCTGACACCTGGGTTTCTGTTGGAAACAGAATCTTTCGTTGGAAGGTGCATTCACTGGGATGGGAAAGATTGAAGGGGAAGCAGCTGGAGAATAGGGAAAAGGTGATGGGTTTAAGATGCCTGCCAAGAAAGCATCCAAATGGAGATATCTGTGGGTAGCTGGACGCGGGCTGGAGCTCAGGAGAATGCTGGAGCTGCAGGTTTGGGCATAGCTGCCTTATTTTTGGTAATAAAGCTATGCACATAGACTCATTTGCTGGGGAAAGGGTGTAGAGAAGGCAAAGGGCTCTTACAAGAACTTGAGTTCATTAAAGGCTGCTGGGAAAAGGCTAGATGTTGGCAGGGAGGGGCTGAAAGTCAAGATGGAAAGGAATAGCTGCACCTAGAACTCTGGGGAGATTAGATGCCACCCCCAGGCTCTGAGTTGGATGGTCTGTCCTCAGGTATGTGCTGCTGCATCATGTGATGGGGGGCCTGGAGGGGACACCGGGGGCCTGGGGCTACGTCCAGGGGGGCATGGGTGCCCTCTCTGATGCCATCGCAAGGTCAGCCACCACACATGGAGCAAGTATCTTCACTGAAAAGGTGAATGGCCCCTCTACCTCACCCCAACTGTTGGCAAGGATCCCAGGACAGAACAGAGTCTCAGATTTGGAAGGCCACTTGTTTTACCTATGAACAGAGGGGTGGTGGGCGGGTGGGCAAGCAGGGAGGTTGAAGAATTTGAAGAATCAAGAGACTAAGGTCACGCTGCCTGCTAGTGGCTAACCACTCCCCTTAAATTCCCTGATCACGGAACCACCTGTGGGCTGAGGCTTCATGGAGAAGCTGCAGAACTTGGTGGGGCGGTTTTGGGATGAAGAAGCTGTGAATGCCTAGGAGCAGCACAGACCATGGAAATCCCACAAGATCTAACCTGAATTTCCCTTCCTGGGGGTTTCCGGGGCCTCTTTCTGGTGAGCTGTAGACAGTGACGAAGGTGCAGGTGAACAGCGAAGGCTGCGTGCAAGGAGTTGTGCTGGAAGATGGCACAGAGGTGAGAAGCAAAGCGGTGCTGTCCAGCACATCACCACAGATCACCTTCCTGAAGCTGACACCACAGGTGAGGCTGCCGGGGGAGGGAGGGGGGAGTTTAGATGTCTGCCTGAACAGGGGTTGGAAACCGTGGGGATTGAGGGAGCCAGGATTGCATCAGGATGTGAGACGCAAAAGTGAAGTCTCTGCATTTGGGAAGCAGGAGGTAAGGGCAGGTAGCAAACAGGGAAGAAGCCTCACAGGTGAGGAGAAAGGGCCAGAGATGTGAAGTGAGCAGGGTCCTGGGCACTGGCCGAGCCAGAGCTGGAACCCAGGTCTAACCTTCAATCGGGAGTTATTTCCACAACTTTCCTATGTTCCTGATTTCTCACCTCTCAGCAGCTCTAATTCCATCACCTGGGTCAACAATCTATTGTAATATCCATGATTATTAATTAATCATAACAAAAAGCCACAAAACTTTTGGGCATACAACAAGAAATACTGGCACCCAGAACTGGAGACTTCAGTTGATCTTGGTGGATTTCAGCTGCTCAAGGCTTGCCTGTGCATCTGCAGTCAGCTGTGGGTCAGCTTGCTGACTCTGCTGATCTTGGCAGGACACCTTCCTGTGCCTGGGAGCTGGCCGGTGGTGGCTGGTCCAGGACAGTTTCTGCCGGGATGACGGGGACTTGGCTCTGCTCCGTGTGTCTGTCCTCCCCCAGCACAGTGTTCAGGCACGTTCTCAGAGTCTGGCAGAGGGCAAAAGCAGGCAAGCTCAATCATGCATGAAAGCATCACATGGTTTGATCTCTTTGCCAAAGCAAGTCTCATGACCAAGTCCAGAGTCAGAAGTGGGTGTGCAAACAGGGAGGGGTGAGATCTGGGGGCAGTTTTTGCAATTGACTTTCCCTGTGCCCAAATATATGATAACATGTACATGAGCAAGAAGCTCCCAGCCATTCTTGGGGGGATTCTTAGGGGTAAAGCACCACTTTTTCTGCGTGATTCCATTAATAAAATTCAACAAACATGAGCAAAAAGAAACTTGTTAAGGCAATTCTAAGATCATTGAGGCTTCCAAGAGCTTACAGACCAGTAGTGAAAAGAGGCCTGCAGACGACTGATCCCTTTGCAAGCAGGGAGAGATGTGGACTATTTCACAGTCAGAATTGCTGGCCAAGCACAGAGGAGGAAGTGGTTAGAGCTGAGTAGGAGGACATGTAGAAAGGCTTCACAGAGGAGGTGGTTTTGGCTGAGCTTTGAAAGATGAAGAGGATTTCCAGAGGCAGCAATGGAGGGATCTGCCTGAGCAAAGAAAGAAGGCAGCTTCCCTGAGGCCCTGGACACCTGAGACCTTTCACAGCAACTTCTCCTTCCAGGAGTGGCTTCCTGAGGAGTTCGTGGAGAGAATCTCTCAGCTGGACACCCGGTCTCCTGTCACCAAGATCAACGGTAAGAGGCACACCGCATGGCAGCACTGCCTCCTTTGACCCATCTGAGCGACAGACTAGGCTGGGGGCAGCTGAGCTCCATCATCATCTCCTTTCCCTGACCTCCAGCCCGTGTCCCCCTGCACCCTGCTCAGAAGGTGAAACACCTGTTCTTGCTTTCCTACTCCCCTCCCCCACTGGGGGTAGCAGGGTGCTGGCTGTAGAGGGAGGACCTTGCGGAGCTGAGACCTGACCCTCCTCTTTGGTCCCTCAGTGGCCGTAGACAGGCTGCCCAGCTTCCTGGCGGCCCCCAATGCTCCCGGAGGCCAGCCACTGCCCCATCACCAGTGCTCCATCCACCTGAACTGTGAAGACACCCTCCTCCTGCATCAGGCCTTTGAAGATGCCATGGACGGGCTGCCTTCCCACAGGTAGGGGCCCAGGGCTTTGTGTCCCCTGTTGTTCTCTGACATGGGCCTGGGAGGTGGGGCTGTTCATGCCACACACAGCAGGGATCAGGCCTGGTATTCAGCCTTCACCATGACCTGGGATCTGCCAAAAACCCATACTTAAGTTCTAAGGACAGGAAGCGCATCCCAGGTGAAAAACCTGAGGACCCGGGCAGGTAAGAGGTGAGGAGCGGCACAGGTTATTGGAAGGGGCAGAGGGGCAGAGCGCTGCCCAGGAAAGTGCTGGGGCTGGGGAAGAACAGAAAGTGTTTTCTGGGAGAGCAAAGGAGGTTCTGTGATTCAGAGCCCGCAGAGTGCATGCACTCACCGAGTGCCCTGCTCCATAGCCTTTCTTTTCCTGATAAGCTGCCTCCTAAAAGCATTTCCCACCTCTCACTGCAGCTGTATTTCCATCCTTCTGGAACAGGCAGGGGCGCTATAGGAGCAGGCGCCTTTCCATCCTGTCCACTGTCCAGCACACCCTGTTGAAAACCTGCTCTGTGCCGGGCTCCGTACCTAGGCATGGGCTGGGGGGAGTAGCGGGGCGGGGGCATGAACTGACACAAAGTGTATTATCATAAGACAGGTACACAGATATTTATAGCGTGTGGTAAAGAAGATGTGCACCTGGAGAAGAGAAGGGCATAAGGCCAAGTTCATTCATCCATTTATACATATTTTGGGGTCTCTACTCTATGCCAGTCTTGGTTCAGGGACTGGGCACAGATCAGCAAGCAAAGCCAACAAGGCCTCAGGTCACTGACTTTCTACTGGTGAGAGGAAGACAATCAACAAATGAGCACTAATGATGAGCACTGCGGAGGAAAACAGGCAAGGAGGGGAGGAAAGCCTTTTCTAATAACGCAGTGCTGGAGCAGAGGCCGGAAGGAAGTGAGAATATGGGTCTTGTGGGTATTTGGGGAAGAATGAGACAGAGGGAAGGTGAGATGCAAAGGCCTGGGGCAGGCATGTGCTGCTGTGCAGGAGGCACAGGGGTGAGGCCAGAGTGGCTGGAGAGAAGGCACCTGGGAGCGAAGGGTCTGAGGTCATGCTGGGTCTTGTCAACTGCCCTGGCTCTTACTCCAGGAAGGTGTGTGCAGAGCCCGCCTTGTACTTTATAAAGACCAACCTGGACGCTGTGTGGAGAAAAGGCTTTAGGGCATCTGTTGCAATGGGTTACTGTTGCAGAATCCAAGGGAGAGAGGACAGTGGCTTGGACAAGGGCAGACGCAGTGGACATGATGAGAAGTGACGGAAGACTGGGTGTATTTTGAAGGTGAAGCCAACAGGACTTGCTGTTGGACAGGGAGTAGGATGTGGGTGGAAAAAAGGGAGCAACTGGGAAATGATGCCTCCATTTACTGAAAAGAGGAAGAGGCGGTGGGGGCGGAGCAGATTTTAGAGGATAATCAGGCATTGGGGTTTAAACACGGTGGGCATGCTGTTTGAGATCCCTGGTGGACATCTGAGTTCAGGGAGAACATTGCGACTGAGGGACATGGGGAGAAGGGGCATTTCCCATGGCCTCAAAGGAGGCTCGTATTTGGAAATGAGCGGGGATAATGTGCTCCAGGTAGAAAAGGTATGGCAGGCAAAGGTGGTGGCTGGGAAGCAGGTCACAGGTCTGCTGGGGCTCGGGGCAGCCCTAGCAGCTCTGTTTTCCATTGGCCTGCTCTGGAAAAGGCAGGCTACTAAAGCCTGGCTGAGATCGGGCTGCCTGGCACCTGCTATCTGAGGCCTGGCCCCTTTCCACCCTCACACTGTCTGTGTGGACCTTGGAGACATTTGAGTTTGGGAGCCCTGGTTAGGGCACAGCGTGTGTGATGAAGGAAGGCAGGACGGGCCATGCATTCGGGGGTCTGGGGCTAGGGGAGGTCCTCACAGGTGATCTGGACCACGCTAGTGGCCACTAAGCCCGTGCAGGTAGATACCCACCATGGCTGTATAGTGACAATCGCCCAGGATTGCTGTCATCTCGGCGCCTCCACTGCATCCCAAGTCATCTCAGAGGCCCTTCCCTCGGCACTGCTGCTCTTTAGACCCGCCGTCTCGCCTTCCCAATTGCACAGGCCTATGATTGAGCTCTGCATCCCTTCCTCGCTGGACCCCACTCTGGCTCCCGCTGGCTGCCACGTAGTCTCCCTCTTCACTCAGTACACGCCCTACACGCTGGCTGGAGGCAAGGCCTGGGACGAGCAGGAGAGAAACGCTTATGCAGACAGAGGTAAAGAGAGCGGCTTGTTCTGCCTCCAGAGCCACAGCCGGGCATGTGACCCAACTGGGCCCGCTCCTCCTCACCACCCCATCAGGATAGACAGCTGCAGGTGCTGTCCCAAAGGGAGGAAATACTCAAGGGAACCTCAAGTCAACATAATGAATGACTGCTGAGCTCAGGCAAGAAGACAGTTCCTGCCCTCCAGTTGCTTGCACTCTAGCAGGGTATGGGGGAGACTAATTAAGAAACCTGCCATTACAGCACAGCTTGCTGTATGAAACAAAGGAAAAGCATGAGCCAGAGAGACAAGGAAGGCTTTCAAAGGAAGGGACGGTCATGACTAGGAGCTGCCCAGACAAAGGGCATTCTAAGCAAGAGAAGCAGCTTGAGCAGGCCGGGTGTGGTGACTCACGCCTGTAATCCCAGCACTTCAGGAGGGTGAGGCAGGTGGATCACCTGAGGTCAGGAGTTCAAGATCAGCCTGACCAACATGGTGAAACCCGTAGCTACTAAAAACACAAAAAAAATTAGCCAGGTGCCATGGCGGCACATTCGTGTAGTCCCAGCTACTCAGGAGGCTGAGGCAGGAGACTCATTTGAACCCAGGAGGCGGAGGTTGCAGTGAGCTGAGATTGTCCCACTGTACTCTAGCCTGGGCAACAGAGCAAAGACTCTATCTAGAAAGAAAAAAAAGAAAGAAAGAAAGAGAGAGACAGAAAGAAGGAAGGAAGGAGGGAGGGAGGGAGGGAAGGAGAAAGAAAGAGCAAACTTGAGCAAAGTGATGAGGTGGAAAAAGCTTTGCATATGCAAGAGGAGACAAAGGATTGGGGTAGGGAAGCAGGGAAAATTGGAGACTGGACTGGCCTACCTATCCATCTTTGGGATGAATTATTTATTTGCTTGTAGACTGATTTTTGTTTTTTACCTATTGAGGTATAATTTGCGTGTGATAAAATCAACCCATTTCAGTGTGTAATTTAATGACTGTTAGTAAATTTACCAAGTTGTACACCCATAGCACCCCCTCTTCTTCCGAATCCCATCTCATTTCTCTGTTTGTTGGCACCCCAGTGTTTGATTGCATCGAGGCCTATGCGCCCGGCTTCAAGGACTCTGTGGTTGGCAGAGACATCCTCACACCCCCAGATTTGGAGAGAATCTTTGGGCTTCCTGGAGGGGTACGTATAAGCCTGGGGAGGTCTCGCCACAGTTTTCTCTGCACCCCCACTTCCTGGCTGTGTCCTCTCTCTTCATCTTGTCCCTCCATACTCAGCTTGCATCTGGAAGGAGGACAGTGGCAGGGACCCCGGCTGAGAGAGGACAGAGAAGTGGTCAAATCGAGGGAATGGGGGGTCCCTGGTGGGGACTCAGAACCCAGGCAGGACAGTCCCACTGGGAAGGTCACCGGGATTGTCGCCCTCTGCCTTGACAGCCATGCTGGCTCTGCCACCTGACTTTCTTTAGAGAGACCACCCTCTTCTTAAGGAAGCAACACATCCTCAGACTTTTCAATTTATCGAAAACTAGAGATGGGAGACAGGGAGACCAGTTAGGAGGCCAGGCTCAACCGCCTCATTGCAGCTACTGAGCACTTGAAAGGTCAGAGAGCAGCCTAGGTGACATAGTGAGACCCATCTCTACAAAAATGAAAAACCAAAAAATCGCCAAGTGTGGTGGTACATACTGTGGTCCCAGCTACTCAGGAAGCTGAAGCAGGAGCATCGCTTGAGCCCACGAGTTCGAGGCTGCAGGGAGTTGTGATGCGCCATTGCTTTTCAGCCTGGGCAACGGAATGAGACCCTGTCTCTAAACGGAAAATCTTAAAAACAAAAAAAAGCAAAAGAAAGATCTGAGGCCAAAGTGAAACGTGCTGCAAGTGTAGAATGCACACAGTATAGAAAAAAATGTAAAATAGCTCATCAATGATTTATATATTGATTACATGTTGAAATTATAATATTTTGGATACATTAAGCTAAATAAAATATATTATTGACATTAATTTCACCAGCTTGCCCTTCCTCCCTCCTTCCCTCCCTCCCTTCCTTCCTTTCTTCTGGAGACAGGGTCTGGTTCTGTCACCCAGGCTGGAGTGCAGTAGTGCCCTGCAGCTTTGACCTCCGGGCCTCAAACCATCCATCCTCCCACGTCAGTCTCCTAAGTAGCTGGGACCACAGGCATGCACCACCACGCCTGGCTAATTTTTTTTTTTTTTTTGGTAGAGGTGGCGTCTCCCAGTGTTGCCTAGGCTAGTCTCAAACTCTGGGGCTCAAGTGATCCTCCCACCTTGGCCTCCCAAAGTGCTGGGATTACAGGCATGGGCCACCACAGCCGGCTCTGCTTTTAGTTTTTAAATGTAGCTACTAATAAATCAAAAACTACATATGTAGCTCCTGTTACATTTTCACTGGACAGTACTGGTCCAGGTATAGAGGAAAGAAGCCCAGGCAGCGGGAAGGAAGGGAAGGGCTGGGTACAGCAGGCATGGGGTGGGCAGACTTAAGAAGCCTCGGTGACAGTGTGCACGTGGGAGTCAGGGTGGAGGGATGTGAAGGGTGGACCCAGAGGCCGGAGGGGAGGGAGGTGGTGTCATGCACTGACGCTGGAGGTGGGAGGAGCAGACTCAAGGGAAGAGGATGGCTTCAGTTTGGGGCAAGGTGAGGAGGGCAGTGGGGGGACACTCCTATGGCGATGTCCAACAGACATTGGGCTTTTGCCAGACCTGCCCCATGAGTCCGACCTTCGCCTGTGCCACGCTGCTGCCGTTCTCAGCCTGGGGCTGGTCTCACCCAAGCAAGGGGGCCAGAACCATGTTTGGGCTCCATTGCCCCTTGTGTGCCATTCACAGTGGTCCTGTTGGATCTTGGAGGCTGGAATCCAGGCTCAGGTGGCTGCCTTGGCAAGAGCAGGGAGTTCCCGCAGAGATGCAGGCCGGCAGCCACATAAGCCAGACGCTTGTGTTTTTCCAACAGAGCGCAAGGGAGGATGCAGAGTGGATCACAAAACCCTCTTTTCTTTCCCATTCAAGTTCCTGCTCCTTACCCTGCTTTCTTCCTCAAAAAACCTTTGGAAAACATCATGCTCAGCCCCAGGGCATGTGCCCATGCCATCTCATCTTCCCTTTCTGCATTTTAAGAACTCAAGAAAATATCTTGGAAAGAGAAATTTTGCTGGAGAACAAGGAAGGCAAAGAAGCCTCTCCAGGGCAGTAAAGGCTGCACTGCTCCTGTGTTAATGACGTGGCCCTGTCTCTGCAGAACATATTCCACTGTGCCATGACCCTGGACCAGCTCTACTTTGCCCGCCCTGTGCCCCTGCACTCCGGCTACCGCTGCCCTCTCCAGGGCCTGTATCTCTGTGGAAGTGGGGCTCACCCTGGTAAGTGACTTGGAGTCCCACTTACCCTATGAGGACTGGGAGGGCTCATTGGAGGTCAGAGACTTGGAAAAGGAGGAAGACCATAAACAATGAAGGCAGCAGAAAGGGAGGGGATCAGGGAACTCCCGCCATAAGAAGCTGCCCCGTGTTCGGAATTCTCCATGCACAGGTGAGCCCCCAGCCACTGCCTCCACCAGGATGACCGCAGCTCGCAGTTGAGCTCGCACCTCCCCTTCAGGAGGCCTGAGGATGCGTCCTGGTGGAGGCATCTCACCACATTGTAAAGTGGGGTTGTGAGAGACCCTATGTCCCTAAACTCCCCATCCGAATATATATTTGGATAGGGTTTCACTCTGTCGCCCAGGCTGGAGTGCAGTGGTGTGATCACAGCTCACTGCAACCTCAACCTCCTGGGTTCAAGTGATCCTCCTTCCTCAGCCTCTGGAGTAGCTGGGACTACTCCAGAGTAGTGTGTGCTACCATGCCCGGCTAATTTTTTATTCTTTTGTAGAGATGGGTTTTGTTACGTTGCCCAGGCTGGTCTTGAACTCCTGAGCTGAAGTGGTCCTCCCACCTCAGCTTCCCAAAGTGCTGGGATTAGAGGCCCCAGACATATTTTAGACCAGGAAGGATGGATCAAGTTAACTTCTTCAACTTTACAATTCTTTCTTGTGCCCATTCCAAGCCTCTCAGAGCTGGTGGGACTGTCATTCACTGTGCACACATTCTCTGAGCTGTGTGGACTTGGTCCCCCTGGAGGGAATCTGTGCTTCCACATCCTCCCCCTCTCCCCAGCCCCTTATTCTGAAATTTTAACTTTACTTACTGAGCGTCTGCCCGTCCAGCACGTACACCATCAGCCATTGAGACTGTGGGCTGTGGACCTGGCCCTTCCCCAGACCTTTGGTGCAGGAAGCCGGAAGGGGGTCAGGGTCTATTGAACGGCTGTCCTAGCTGGTCCCAGTGCCCCTGCCCCACACCCCCACACCCTTTTAACCAGCCCCACTCTGCTTTGTTGCTGGATCTCTGTAAGCCCTGCCCCCACCCCTATCCATGTGGGTTTTTGAGTGGAGCTTTGGTTCATAGGAGATTCCCTTCCAGGAGGAGGCGTGATGGGAGCCGCTGGGCGAAATGCAGCGCATGTGGTCTTTGGGGACCTCAAGAGCTTGTGACCCCGAACCAACTCTCATGCAGAAAGAAGAAAGCTTGACCCCTGAATTCTAGGTGCCCCATTGGATCAGCCTCCCAGGAAACTCAGCTTCGGGGTTAGTACTGGAGGCCACCAAGTCCTCAATGCTCAAGCAATTATTTTAGAAAAAACGTACAAGTTACATTTAGTGAAAGGTAACCTTATGCCCATGCCTCCGTACATGGACTGGTTTTGTTTTATTAAAACTAATATTTCATACAGATTATTTGCCTGTATTTTTTCTCTGTGTTAGTTGGTGGGATAGACTTGTCTGGGGTACCCATAATTCTTACACTAGCTAAGAAACAGTCCATTTGAAGGCCAGGCATGGTGGCTCACGCCTGTCATCCCAGTCCTTTGGGAAGTTGAGGGAGGCAGATCACTTTGAGGTCAGAAACCTCATCTCAACTAAAAATACAAAAATTAGCCAGGTGTGGTGGCAGACGCCTATAATTCCAGCTACTTGGGAGGCTGAGGCAAGAGAATCACTTGAACCCAGGAGGTGAAGTTTGCAGTGAGCAGAGATTGTGCCATTGCACTCCAGCGTGGTTGATAGAGACTCCATCTCAAAAAACCAAACAAACAAAAAACAACAACAAAAACCAGTCCATCTGACCAGTGGAAGAGTCTGATCCAAGCATCTCCTTGTCCTTGGCTGGGCCCCCACTACCAGCAATTAGAGGACTGCCCAGGTGGGGCCCAGTCAATTGCTGTCACATTCCTGGCAAACTATAAGAATGGACCCAATTTCCCCATGATCCAGAGTCACCCACAGGGGTCATGGGCCTGACTGATGCTTGGCATCTGAAGCCATCGAATCCTCCAGTCAGGCAAAAAGCAAAGTGGATTCCACTAAGGCCGTCTGGGAGCCCGCTATTCCTGATTCCAGAGCATTTAGCCTTCTGCTTCCTATGAGCTAAGTCTGTTGCATCCCCAACACCTTTCGATATAAACCTCTATAATTCCAAAGTAAGTTGAACTGTCACTATTGTCCAGCAAAATCCATCCAAAGTTCCCCTGGTAATGCAGCCCTCCCAGCCAGCTTCTCCAGTTCCAGCAGCCAAGGCCACAGTCCAAGCTGTCCTGTCTGCAGAGGAGGCAGGACCTTCCCTGAGAAAGCTTCCCTTCCTCCATTTCCTGGGCAAATACAGATTCAAATAGATCCACCTCAGTACTTAATGTTGGTGAAATCAGATTTCTCAGCTGTAAGAGAGTTGTTTTAAAGCTCACATCAAACAATAGATCATGTCTCTGTCCAGTATCTGGCATATGGTAAGCATTCAATACAAGGTGGAGCTGCTGCTGCAGCTTTTGTTGGTGAAGACGTTATTGTCATTTTTGTATTCTGCAGAAGGTGGTCTTTTCTATATATTTATTTTAACCTGGCACTCAGAATTGAAACCAGCCCCCTAGAAGCACTGTGACCAGGACAGCACAGAACAATGTTTGGGTCCCCAGGCTTTTTCCAAATTAGCCAAGCCCCCTCATTCAGAATTGGTACGACCAACTTCTTGAGCCTGTTGAAAATGTGTTTTTGGTCAATATTGCCAGTTTTCTGGAAGGTAAGAAGGAAGGCAGGGAGAGAGGGAGGAAGAATGAGAGAGAAAAAGAAAGGGAGAGAGGGAGGAAGGAAGAAAGAGAGGAAAATGAAAGAGAAGAAGGAAGAAGGAAAGTGAGGGAAGGAGGGAGGGAGAGAGTGAGGAAGGAAGGAAGGAAGGAAGCAAGGTGGGAGGGAGGAAGGGAGGGAATGTGGGAGGGGAGGAAGGGAGGGAATGTGGGAGGGGAGGAAGGGAGGGAGGGAAGGAGGGAGGGAGGAAGGAACATGGAAAATCTCCAAGGGCCTGGGGCAGCTCACATCAGACTTGATCTTTAAAATTAATAACAATTTTTTTGTAAACAAAAGTACAAATGCCTAATGTAGGAAATTTAAAAAATATAATAAGAGAGAAACATAAAATGTGCACATAATTTTTCCTGCAGAGATCATCGCAGTTACCATTTTACAGTATCTCCAGATAGTCTTTCACATCATTGGTATTCTGTGTTCTGTGTGTGGGCTTTACATCTTGCCTTCATTTCACTTCGTGTCATAAGCAGTTTTCAGTGCCATAAAAGTCTCTTTGAAAACACTTTTTTAATAGCTGCCTAATACTCTCTTGTAAGGATGTGCCATAATTTATTATGGGACATTGGGTTCGGCGTTGGCCTTGATTGCTAATTAGCATGAGCCGAAGGCCTGAAAGCTTCTTTTATCGTTGCTGTTCCTATTTTAATGGTTCCCTATCATTTCTGGGATCACAAGGGTGCAGCTGCTCTCCAGGCAAAGCTTTCCTCTAAAGGAAGAGGAACTTGGAGGAGGCCAGGGAGAAAGGGGGAAAAAGCATTTTTAGCACCAAAAGGAAGAATTTCCCACTGTTTTGGTGACTTCCCATCCTGTGTCTTATGTCTCTGAAAGATGACATTTGATCCAGACCGAGAGACAAGATAAGGCCTCAGCACTACAGGGTGCCTTGATTCCTCCAAGACCCCAGCACATGCTGACCTTGCTGAGCAAGGCGGCCTGGTCTTACCCAAACTGCTGACTCTGCAAATCAACCATGAATTGGGGAAATGAGTCCCTTGCTGGCCCTAGTATGTAAAACTTGTAGAAGGATAAATAAGTCAGGGCCTCAGTGTTACCTGATTTACAATTGCCAGTTTCCCCAAAGCAATAGGGAACACTTCCTTTGAGGCACAGTCCTGCAAACCCCTGAAGTACACTGGAACCTCACCTGGTTAAGTCGTTACCAGCGGGCCCTCCTGATCTCACAGCCCCTGGGTGATGGTGTCCAGAGACTCAGCAAAATGTGAGGTTTACAGCTCTGGGAGGAATGTGGCCTTCCTGGTGAGAGGAATGACAGATGTGGCTGACCAAGCTGGCTGTGGGCCTTGTGAGTGTGCATCTTTCTAACACATGTTTGATTTGCAAGGCAGGTGACAATCACCAAGCTCTTCTGTGAGACCTTGGTATTACTCCTGCCCTGAAGGCCAGAATGAGTGGGAAAGAGACCTGTGGAGCACAGGACATCATTCTGTGGGGAAGTGGAGACACATGAAATGAGGAAAAGGAATGCAAAATGCAAAGCAAGGAGAAACGCAAATGGACAGCAAACCTGGAAATATTTAAGCTCACCAGGAATCTGTTAAATGCAATGAAAACCAAATGATCATGCTTTATCTATAAAATGGAGAACAAATATTTGTATAGAAAATTACTAGTGTGGGCAAAAAAGACACTTTTCTATGCTGTTGACAACGGCATAAATTTGTATTTGATAATGAGACTCAAAAGCCAACATCTGTGTGCTTTGTGGGTTATTCTGCATCTTATCATTTCGCCTAAGGAAAATAGCAGAAATGTCCCTAAGGATTTAGCTAGAAGGATATTCATGCAGTATTATTTGCAATGGCAAAATACTGGAAACAGCCTAAATGTCCCAAAATAGAGAATTAGTTAAATTAATCACGGTAACTGCACATGATAGAATATCAGACAATAACTTTAAAAGTTACATTTTTGAAAGTACTTTTAGCACATGGAAAAAATATGCTAACAAAAGTAAGATATGGCCAGACTCGGTGGCTCACGCCTGTAAGCCCAGCACTTTGGGAGGCCGAGGCAGGTGGATCACAAGGTCAGGAGTTCAAGACCAGCCTGACCAAGATGGTGAAACCTCATCTCTATTAAAAATACAAAAAAATTAGCCGGGCATGGTGGCATATGCCTATAATCCCAGCTACTCAGGAAGCTGAGGCAGAGAATTACTTGAACCTGGGAACTGGAGGTTGTAGTCAGCCGAGATCATGCCACTGCATTCCAGCCTGAGTGACAGAGTGAGACTCCACCTCAAAAAAAAAAAAAAAGGATAATCAGAAGAGGAATTACATGAGACTAAGCAAAGGACATTTGATTTGTATGCAGTAGTCTTCAAGACAATGTGTCTCTTAAGAAAAACAAAGTAAAGAAGGTTGTCAACAGTGAAAAGGTAGGTGAAATCTACACTTTCTCCACTGCACCTGTCGGCCTTCCCTCCTGTCTGATCTTTCAGGACCCGTGGAGAAAGTGTAGGTCTGACCCAGAAGGCCTCTGTAGGTAAAGGGGATGATGATGCCTCCCATAGAGGGATGTGTGGATTGTATATACACACACACAGCTCACCAAAATATGCACACTGTGTGATCCAGCACTCACCCACTCGCAGGTAAGAAATGCTTACTGGTGTTCACCAAAAGACACATCCTAGGCTGCTCCTAGCAGCACTATTTGTAGTACTTCCAACCAGAAAGCTACCCCAAAATGCCCATTCACAGTAGAATGGAAAAGTAAATTGTGGTACCTTCATATGATGGACTGCTATTCAACAATGAGAATACACAACTTAGAACCACATGCAACAAAACTATGTTGAGTCAAAGAAACCAGACATGAAAGAATACATGTTGTAGGATTCTGCTTATAAATCGTACAGAAACAGGCTAAATTAATCTATACTGTTATAAGTTCACCTTTGGCTGGGCACAGTGGCTCACACTTGTAATCCCAGCACTTTGGGAGGCTGAGGTGGGAGGATTGCTTAAGGCCAGGGGTTCAAAACCAGCCTAGGCAATGTAGCAAGACTTCATTTCTACCAAAAAAAAAAAATAGCCATGCATGGTAGTACATGCCTGTAGTCCTAGCTACTTAGGAGGCTGAGAAGGGAGGATCACTTGAGCCTAGGAGTTGGAAGCTTCAGTGGGCTATGATCACACCACTGCATTCCAGCCTGGGCAACAGAGTGAGACACTATTGAAAACAAAAGTTCACCATTGAGGGTTTTAGGGTCTAGAAAGAAGCCTGAGGAGGGCTTCAGGGTGCTAGCAGTATATCCCACCTGTTTGATCTGTGTGATGGTTACATAAGTATGTTCAGTTTCTGAAGAATTTATTGATTTCTACACTTAGGATGTTACAGCTTTCTGTATGTATATTATACTTCAATAGAAAGTTAAAAAAAAAAACCAGCTTAGTGCCTGGAACATGGTGATGTCACTTATTAACATCATTACTATAAAGCTCATGTTTACTGGCAAAGCCCTATGTCTGAGGCTAGGCTTGGAAGAGGAAATGAAGAAGGAAGGTAAGGAAGGAGAAGAGGAGAAAGGGAAAAAGGGATGTGGTAGACAGACCCATAGGGTGCCCCCCACCCAG